GCTCCTGCGGCGGGCCAGCGCCGTCCGGCTGCTCGGCTGCCGGATCCGGTAAGAGGAGGGAATGATAAAAAATTATAGTAATAGCAATAAAGATGTCTGACTGTCCTTTCTTCGTGCTGCGTGTTGGTCTGTGCACCTGACTGCCTGGAGGGAGGGGGCAGCAGACTGAACGGGTCACTGGAGCTGACGGGTGTGTGCCTGTGCCAGTGTGGGAGGCGGGGGCACGGCCATCCCTCACCCGCTCTGTGTGCATGTGTGTGCGTGTTGGGCCCGAGGGGTGCAGCGCTCTTACCTGCTTGCTGTACTTGCTGCTGGCCTGGCAGCTGTACTCGGAGCAATGGTCCGAGCCGATGGAGATGTTGTCGCCAGCGCCCACGAAGGTGTTGGCTGGGGGCAGGTCCTGCACGGCCTGGTGCTTTTTGCCAGCGGTGGGGGACTGTGGGTGCAGCTGGACGGTGGGCAGCGGTGAGCTCGACTTGTAGTGCCTGGCCAGGTCGGGGCTGCCCGGGCCACCGTTGACCGAGCGATATCGGCCCATGCCGGGGCTGTCCGAGAGCTTCTCGTTGACGCTGTCGTAGCGCTGCCCGTTGGGCTTGGAAGCCTCTACGGTAACAATGCTGCTATAGAGGGGCTGCTTGCCCTTTTTGCCTTTCTTGTCCTTCTTGGGCTTCTTGGCCTTGTCGTGCTGCTGAGGTGTGAAGAAATCCTCGTGGTCCTTCTTGCCGGCCTCGTAGCCATGCTTGCCCTTGGATCGGCAGTAGCGGGCCATGACCACCACCAGGATAAGAAGGATGACTGTCATGATGCCAGCCACCACACCAATGACTATGCTAAGCCTCTGCTTGCTCAGCTCATAGCTGGGATCACCAGCAATGTCCTGGGCCAGTGGGGTGTGAAGGCTACGGGCCACTTGGCTCTCCACCACAGTAGCGTTGGACAGGCTCTCATTGACAAAGACGTGGAGCAGGGCAGTGGTGGACTGGGGCGGCTGCCCACTGTCATTCACTTGCACAACCAGGCGGTGCAGGCCATAGTGCTTGGGGGCCAACTTGCCCACCAGTGACACCACACCACTGGCCGGGTCTATTTCAAAGAGTTTGAAGGGGTTACCCCCAACAATGCTGTAGTTGAGGTCAGCGTTGAGACCGGTGTCAGCATCGGTGGCGACTACTGTGGCCACCACGGTGCGCATGTTGCTGGAGGGTGGCAGCACGGTGTAGGAGCTGTTGCTGGGGAAGGTGACAGTGGGTGCATTGTCATTCTCATCCATCACAAAGAGAGACACAGTGGCTGTGGCAGAGCGTGGTGGCTCACCCCCATCCACTGCCTTCACCTTAAAGGTGTAGCTGGTCTGCTGCTCACGGTCAAAAGAGACAGTGGAGAAAATGGTTCCGGTGTCATTCTCAATGGAAAAGATGCCAGCTGCCTGGTCGTGATCTCCAGGCTGGATGGAGAGGCTGAGCTCAGCATTGCGGCCCTTGTCAAAGTCCATCACAGTCACCATGCCCACGGGGCTGTTGGGCTGCAGGTTTTCTTTCACATAGAAGGTGAACACATCCTGCATGAAGCGCGGCTCATTGTCATTGCGGTCCGACACTCGCACCACCACTGTGGTGGAGCCCTGCAGTGATGGCACCCCCTTGTCCCGAGCTGTCACCTGAAATTCGTAGGTGTCACGTTGTTCGCGGTCCAGCACTGCCTGCACCGACACATCCCCAGAGTCAGGGTCAATACTGAAGATGCTGCCCGGTGCCTCTGAGGAGAGGGGCGAGGCCTCCAAGGAATAGGTGATCTCAGCATTCTTGCCACTGTCCGCATCTGTGGCAACCACCGTGGCCACCCTCTCACCAGGCAAGTTGTTCTCTGGAAAGGAGACCTCCAGCACAGCCTGGCTGAACATGGGAGGGTTATCATTAGTGTCCCCGACCCGCACCAGCAGGGAGTTGTTGCTGGACAAGCTGGGGCTGCCTGAGTCCACAGCCACAATCACCACATTGTAGTCACGGACAGCTTCATAATCCAGGGGGGCCGAAGTGTGGAGGAAATACTTGCGTTTGTTCTGTGGCTCCCCTTCACCCTCACTGGCCGGTTTGAGCTGGAAGGGCACATCGCCCACCACGGTGCAGGTCACCACACCATTTTCACCTTGGTCCCTGTCTGACACCTGCACCAAGGCAATGGGGGTGTCCACCAGCACATCCTCAGCCACGCTTGCCACCCCGTCCCGGAGCGGGATGCGCCCGATTTTCCGGATGTCGATGGTGGGCACGTTGTCATTTTCATCCCGGATGTTCAGCACTACAGTGGCTTTGTCTGTCTTGGGGGGCTGGCCCCGGTCTCGGGCCATGACAGTGAAGCGGAGCTGGTTCACCTCCTCTCGGTCGATGCGGTGCAAGACGCTGAGCCAGCCCGAGGTCTCGTCCAGCCGCAGCAGGCGCCTGACGGACTCGGTGGCTGCCCCGAAGACGTACTCGATCTGCCCATTCACTCCCACGTCCAGGTCGGTGGCTCGCAGCTGCAGGATCGGGGTCCCGGGGCTGCTGTTCTCCGCCAGGTCAGCCTCATAGACGCTCTTCTCAAAGCGGGGGCTGTTGTCGTTCACGTCGGTGATCAGCACCCTCAGGATGGCCTGCGAGGACCGTGCCGGGTCGCCGCCGTCCCGCACTCGGAGGCTGAGTTCGTAGGAGTCCCGCTGCTCTCGGTCCAGCGCCCCCTTGACGATCAGCTGCGGCTGCTTCTCCCCGTCCAGGGTGTCGGCCACCTGCAGCTCGAAGACGCTGCTGCGGGCCGCCGCCTCCGCCTCCTGCCGCCGCTTGCT